AGAATACAGCTTCTAGTTTTGATGTTAGATGACTTTGATGTTTTTTGTATTATATATTTTCTATATTAAATAACTTTTTTGTTATAATGCTGGTGCCATTGTTAACTATCTCCTCCTAGAGGTGATAGGTATCTTCGTAAAAGGATTATTTTTGTGTTTTTCTATGTTGCAGTGTATTTTCTTTGTTCCCATCTTTTTTATTTTTGTGGTGAGTAATCTGTTAGACTACCCCCTTCTAAAGAAAGTAAGTGATTTCTGTGATGAGTTTTATTATGTTGTATTGTATAGTTGATTTTACTGTGGTGCTTGTTAATGTTGTTGGGCATGTGGTTCTCCTGGGCCAAGGGGCAAGGTTATTTTGATTCCTTACTCAACATGTGATTTAATCTGTAGTTTAGATATTAGGGATGGGTGGATCAGCCTGGGAGTGTGTTACATGGTGGTACTATGTATTATCTAACCCTTTAGTCAATATGTGAATTTCTGTTTTGGTTTTAGTTCAGTTTGGATGCAGAGAGTCTCAAGTAAACAATTTTCCTTGCTATGGTGCACAAGCGACTTAGTCTCTCTATTTTCTTGTTAGGCATGTTCTCTTATAGGAAATATAGTAGTTACTTCATCAGTGATGTCTTGAGATAGACAGCTGTATATCTGTTAGTAAGTCAGATACTAAACTGGGAGTGCCATATACTTGCTTTCGAACTTCATTGGATGAAGATCACATACACAGTGAGTTGTTCTTGAGCAAGTGGCTTGACTACTGTTTATCATTTTGGTAATTAAAGCCAGATTTTCCCCTATCAAGCAGAGGTCCACAGGTTTTTAGAAACCTTTTCATTATTCAAACTTGAGCAAGAGGTCTTTATTTAATGTTCTTTTGTTTCTTTTTTAAACTTTAACTGTAATTTTACTTTAGCTTTCAGGGGTGTTTTTATTTGAATCTTTTTTTCTAGTTCACAGAGAGAGCTTGAAGTGGACTGGTAAGTGAGACCTATTAAAGGTTTTTTTTCTTCT